CCACACACACACACACACACACACACACACACACACACACACTCAGACACACACAAACCGTGTATGCAGCTGCCGTCTCTCAGCTCACACAATAACACACTCCACTAAACTCTGTGTGTCACTCTCTCCCTACCTTCGTATGTATCCTCCACTCATAATCATTTGCTCTCTCTCATCCACGACCCGAGATGACGGCGGCTGATTGGCTACAACGCCATCCTGGCTTGAGGCTCTGCCCCAAACTGCCTTGTATGCCCCACTCTCCTCAAAAGCCTTTAGTCTGGAAGAGAAAGAGTGATGACCCCATGGATGTCGATTTTAATGAGTGAAGTCTGTTAAACATGAAACGTGAGAACCACAGCGTACCCATACTGCTCCTGCAGCTACAGTACGGGTACACCAAGGGTCCATTTATACCATAAAACACGACAAACATGGCGCTGGACCACTTCAGAGCAAATCAGAGCAGCAAAGCAAGCCGACAGCAAAAGCTAAAAGCAACTAATGAACCAAATCTGAAGAGTTTTCTCATGTTTAAATCTCACGAGGCTATTTGCTCCTTGTCAGCGTCGCACTGTATGTTAAAGCACCTTACTGGAAACATCTATTTTACCTCCAGTGCTCACTGGTATCACTGGGATCATCCTGATCAGTGCGTTTGGGGAAGAACAAGAACTATATCACATTTAGATCTGCACTTCAGAGTGGTTTCTTTAAGAAGAACACTCAGTTTAGCTTTCCTGCTATGTTTGGTTTTCTCTCTTTGTGAGTAACGTCTGGGCATAGAAGTGCCAAAAACTACAAATATGGTCACTTCCAACACGGCAGCAGCCATAACACCAACGCCGAGCCCTGAAAGTGTGAAATCGCCAGAAAAAACTGGTGAATAAGATGGCTGCTCATTGTGATGGTGTTTGAATGTTGCAGCCTGACCTTACAGGACCAATTCAACTCTATTAACATTATAATAACAGGACCGAGCTGACAGATCGCTTTGATATGGTGGAAAAGTGCCTTTTGTATAAATCTGAGGTCTGTGGTGAAGCCGCTGCAGTAAACGTGGCCCAGGGCTGTGAATCAGGTATAATTTAGGTTTTTACAAATAGATTCTTATGACTACATCTCACATACTTACCTCTGGATAATGTTTACAGACAAACACACACTCACACACACGCCACACACACCTCCACCTACTTATCACAGGAGCAGAGACCACAGCACTTGCCCAGGTCAGTCAGGTTTTTCTCTGCCTCCTTCATATCAGAGTTGATCTGATCCAAGCCCTCCTCTATTCGCTCCAACTGCTCTATGAGAGGATGCGGCGGAGCAGGATGAAGGAAGAGCAAAGGTGAAAGAAAGCAGGAACGTAACGAGAAGAATGGAGGCAGAAAGAGGAGGAGGGAGGTGGAATAAAAGAAAAAAATCACAAAGTATTTCCACGCGGCTGCACTATGAACTGAAAAACCAGCCACCAGAAACGTGAAACAGAACACCACCACGCTGCGCTAAATGCTAACAGCACACTGGACCAAACGGTGCAGAGCCAACGACCTTTGACCTCGGTGCCCACTTCCATTCTGTTTTCTTCTCTCGGGCTATGTACGAAGGATGTTTCTGCATCTGTGCTTCTTTTAAAGAAGATTTTAAGGAACATTTCTACAAATGTGTCTTCTAAATCCAAATTTAGGTATTTTTAGTCACATGCAGTTAGAAAACTCTTCATTGTCACCGTTCTGCTATAAACAGACATCAGATGCAAGAGATGCAGAGCTTATCTGTTATATCGAGTTCATTTTTACAGGCCTTTGTCTATAAATTAGATTTTTCTGATCCTTCAAGCCAAAAAATCTCTACTTCAGAAACAGCAAACGTGTAGTTATTCACATCCTGAAGGCTTTTACCAAATAGTTTGTTCATATATATCATTCAGATCTTGATTCACTGAACATCTATTAGTAAAAACATGCATTCTTTGTATTTTGGGATTATTTTCTTCTTAATGGATCAATTAAAACTAATTATTAAATAAAAAACAACTTTGAGTTTAATACTTGGGCAAAAGGAAACGAGCAGAGAGTGACATCATTCAGTCAGGATGGCTTATCGAGTAATTTAAGCCCCTGATTATTATGATGATGACGACTGATTACGATTATCGTTGCTGAAGGAGTCTGATAATCTAATCACATTTGATAAACACTGCAACACATTTAATGGAACTGGGCACCAGTACGGGGCTTTTTAGGGCCTGTTTGGATAGAGACGCAGGTTCCTGGACCTACTTCCTGAGTGGCCAGATACAAAGGCCACAGCACTGGGCCATGTCTGTCAGATTCTTCTCTGCCTCTCTCATGTCCCTGTTGATGGAGTCCATACCCTCCTCAATACGCTCCAACTGCTCTGTTTGAACGGGAGTTTTATGGTGTTGCCACAGCAGGAGCAGAGATCAATACAGAGATGGGCATGTTTACACAATGTGTACTGGCAAGGCTTCCAAACCAAAAGCTCAAATCAGGGATATTGACACAAAAAGGCTAAATTATGAGAAAAAAAAACTTGATACAATGAGAAATTTAAGAATAAACACAAATTTCTGAGGAACAAAAAACCCAGCAAATTTCAAATTTCATGGTCAAGACAAGTCTTTACATTTAAGCCAAGAAAAACCTGTTTACCTCCTTGTTCATCCAACATCACCACAGTCCTGATCCCAACATCTTTACTCTGGAGGATGGAACACATAACAACCCGTTACTGACAGGAGCCCCAGCGACGCATCGTTTCCAAACAGGTTTTTATTGCACATATGGAAATCGATTTAAAGACGTTTGCTGCAGACGCCACGTGGCGATCCACTGAGCTCCTGCTCACTTCTTTAAATTCTTTCTATTTTAGATTTACGATAAAAAGCCAACAAGGTAAGACTGCCTAAACTGTTTATCGGCAGTAAGCTCACATGACCTCGATCCTGATCACAGTGACTAAAAGTAAACAAATGGCTGTTATGGATAAAGAACGTATGAGCACTTGGCATGAATGCTGTGCATTATAGAGTAATGAAAAAACATCCTTTCCTGCTTTCCTCACTGTTCTGCTCTCCCGGCCGTCGTTTGTCCAAAATCATTTTCCAGGAGCTTAAACTTAATCATAACACTGCATCCGTCTTTGTTAGAGTCATCCTGACATGGATCTCTGGCCATTTCCTCATGTGGAAACACAGCAGGCTAATTTACAGATGATGATGACAAAGTTCACAGTGAGGTTTGTGCTTTATCACTCCATCACTGTGGGGGTCTTTGTTAGATTATATTGTGTGTGTGTGTGTGTGTGTGTGTGTGTGTGTGTGTACCTCCTCAACCAACTGAACCATCCGCCGCGTGCTCTCCAGTGACTGAAAGACACAAAATCACTGCTTCAATATTTAACATTCAACACATTACATGAGCTTGTGAACTGCGTGCTCATTAAGTCATTTCTGTAGCTTTAATTTTGTTCTTAGTTATACAAACAGTTAAAGTTTAGTATAACCTACAGTGAAGTCTTTAAATTCCCCTCTGCAGCTACACATAAGTTAAAGAAATACATTAAATGCATCCAACCAACATAAGAAACGGTGCGACAATAACAGAAGTGCAAGAGTGACTCTGAGTCTTGGAGGTCTTTCAGTCTGATTTAGCAGTGTGATGGTGTGAGGTCAGAAGCTGCTCCTCATTCAGCAGACGATGCAGGTGAATCATTTCATGTAGCTGTCCCGCAAAGTGGGGAGGGTGGTCTTAATGGTCCTGTCAGTGGTGTGGATCACCACCTTAAACACACACTACACAGGAAGCTCAAGCTTCCAGGCCTCTGGTAGGGCAGTGGTCCCCAACCCCTGGGCCACAGACTGGTACCGGTCCGTGAGTCGTTTGGTACCAGGTTTTTATCGTTAACTCGTTTCTCTGGGTCTTTTCCCGTGTTATGACTAAATCTTATTTCTTTTTGGTACCAGTACTGGTTTTATTTTGTTGTATTTATCCGGGACACCTTAAAGGCCGGTCCGTGAAAATACTGTCGGACCTAAACCGGTCCGTGCGCACCCGTGGCCGCCTACAGGGGCGAGATAGACCTCGTCCTCCATTATACCAGATATTGACGCAATTTCTTATCATCAGCTGAACAATGACAGCAGCTGGTAGTAAGTTAATATTCTACATTTTAATATTAAGCTTGAGGGTGTAAAAACACATTTAAGCTCTGTCAAAAATGCAGTCAAACTCATTTTACACTCGCACCAAGTGTGAAAATCTAAAGCTACAACTTGTTCTTGTTCCTCACTATTGTTCAGAAACCATTGCTGAGCATCAGTATTGTGGAATGTGTTATAGTTTCAGCTCCAAATGTAAAGGGTGACACATGGGAGCAGGAACAAGTAAGATATCTGATGTGTTTAGAAAGTCATTTCTAGTTAAAAGAACTTTTAACTTTCTATCAAAATCGTCTTTGTGTCATTAAGGAGTTATTATAGGTTATAGTAGGAGGATACAGTCTACATCAGTTATGTGCAGAAACTGCTAGCTGCCTGTTTATCTACCCCTAGGTCTGTGTGTGTGTGTGTGTGTGTGTGTGTGTGTGTGTGTGTGTGTGTGTGTGTGTGTGTGTGTGTGTGTGTGTGTGTGTTGTGTAAATATCATATCAGTCCTCTGGGATTTCCCCACTGATGGGATGATGAGGTGACACATGTCTCTGACCTGCAGTAGCCTTTAAACACCAGGGAGTGTGTGTGTGTGTGCGTGTGTGTGTGTCTGTGTGTGTTGTGAGCTCATCTGTGCCAGACAGTTGCACATGGAGACCAGCTGTCTCCAAGGCAACCAGGTGAGCCAGGTGCCCTTGAAGAGGCCCTCCCCTCAGGCAGGGCTGTGTCCTCTGTGGCTCAGCAGGTTGTGTAGTAGTTTGCGTCACTCTTCTTGCCAGTTTGTTTATTATGAATTCTTGGTTTTATTGCTGAGATGCTCTAATTATAATTATCCTCATTAGGTTTCTCTGACTGACACACAGAGTGTGACACGCTCTCCGGGGTATAAGCTGAGGATGCTGCTGTGACTCGCTCCTGTCCATATCACCACTGTTAGATTGTATTTTTCTCTGCTCCTTGCCAGCCTCAAAAATGTGTTGGCAAAGGAAATACCCGACTACACTGTTCTGGTCTGACACTTTCATGATCCGTTCTTTAGGCCGAGTTAGCTGAAGGGTAAAGCACATGTAAAACCATGTTCATATGAAACATGGCAAAAGTGTCAAAGGAGAAGATGAATCCGAGTAATTCCCATGTGCCGAACATTCAGGCTTGGCTTAGTTTCACATCGTTTTTCTACTGCAGACGGGGGATAAGTGGATATGGCCCAATATCCTCCTCTCGTTTTCTGTTTACAGGAGCAGCCAGTCAGAAGAAAGGGAAGATGGCCTTAAAGGGGAGGAGCTATAACATCTGGAACTGGGAATTCAGAGTCTGTTACTTGTAGTCATGATGATATAGTGTAGGATTGGAAGGTCGTGCAACAAAATGCTCCTTGAGGTAACTGTTGAAAACTATCTCTGCTTTTAAGATTAGACAGACCGTTTTCACTCCCGAGGCGTAACATGCCGATGTTTTGTCACATCCTGCGGTGTTCCTGAGGAACGCAAAAGGAGACCTTCCGCGTTCTAATGCTACGTGCCGGGTTATGGATGAAATCCATAAATCTAACCTTCTCCCTAACCTTAACCAGTAGTTTAATGACGTGAAATGGTGTTTTCCGAAGCGTTTTTAAGAAAATGAACAAACATGTGTAGATTGTGTCCAAACAGTTCTCATATTTCCTCATTTTGCTAATGTCGTCATTTAGGAACGCGTTGGGTGGCCGAAAACGTAATATGTTGACGATTTGTCACCTAGCGTAAAATGTTACACTTTGGGATGAGAACGTGTTGGATTAGACCTAAAACTTTCCTTTTTGCTAAAGCATATAGTTAGGGCTGAATCAGGTGACCCTGAATCCTCCCTTAGTTATGCTGCAATCCAGTTGTTCAGTCTGACGTCACTAGCCGTGTCTGGACCTAAACTCCGCTGCAGGTCCATATATCAAACGATCACTATGGCATTACTGAGAGTTGAAAAACTGTCTAAAGTCTTTCATCTTTAATAAAATGATCAGCGTTCTGCTCTACCAGGTGTAACAATTGAGTTTAACATCCAGGCATCCATGAAAACGGAATTTATGACATTTAACAGAGTTAGAAGTTAGCAGGGAGTTAGCTCGCTAGCTTCTATCTAAATACAATATAGCATGTCCTGACTGCGGGGTTTTGGAAACAAATTCAAACGTACAGCTCTGCTATCACTTCCAGCATAAATGAAGACAGAAAACTAAACAGCAGTGACGTTTGTAGGGTTACTGAAGTTGGGCTAGCTGTATATAATGATGTGCTACGTGACCGCTAGCGACACAGCTATGTTAGCATAATATAAACAAGCTAACTTTTTTTCCACTGGATAAAAGTTAACGTGAGTGTTCTCGGTGGTCAGGAACAAATGTAATCGCATGGCAGGATGCTGTAAAAGGACCAAACTTCAGCCAGGAGAACAACTGAGATAATCCATCCACAATACGAGGTTAGTCATTCATATACTGCTGCATGGGCTGGGCTGTAGCTACATCCTAAGGTTTTAAAAACTGAGCTTAAATAAATGATTAGTGGTAATAAAAGCCGAGGGAGGTCAACAGGGATCACTGACTGTTTTAGGAGCTTTTTGAGATCAAATAGAAGAAAATACAAAACATTAAACATGTTAACAACACAAAAGCCATATTAAACGCAGACTACTTTAGGCCCGGAAGTAGGATTCGTCACGTCATCACTGAACAACCGGATAGGTGTAGGCTCCTGGGGGATTTCCCATGATGCACTGGGTGTTTCTTCTTCACTCACTATGTGCTAACAGACCTCTCTGCATTGAATCATACTTGTTATTCATCTCAGGCTCTCTTCCATAGCATGTCTTTATCCATGTCTTTTCATGGCCTGAGCCTGGTTCTGCTGGAGGTTTCTTCCTGTTAAAAGGGAGTTTTTCCTTCCCACTGTCGCCAAAGTGCTTGCTCATAGGGTTCATATGATTGTTGGGTTTTTCTCTGTATGTATTATTCAAACTTTTTCTTTTTCTGAAGCCAGCCTAGAGCCCAAAGACAGCCCAAGCTCAGTATGGAGCTCCATACTCCATAACTGGTCATGGCATGCAGTCTGATTCATTATTAATGACTTGCAACATAATGTTTCCTTAAGCAAAATACAGTGTAAAGTGTATTATAGCCCCTCTTTCTTCGCAGTTTTTGCTCTCCATATGGTGGGCTGCACTGAAAGGAAATATTTGGCATCCCTGATAAAATTCACTATATAAAAAAGAAATAATACGTTTTTATTTTTAAGTAGAATCACTTAAATCCCCCTGCTGATTCAAGGCAGTCTATGAAATACTCCAAACATCCAATTTATTCATTTGTGATTCTGGAAATGAATTTCATATCCTTGAACCTGATGTTTCAGATGTGCCGTCTCATACGAACTAATCTGTGTCCACATTTAGAGGTTAAATGGTAAATGGCCTGCATTTGTATAGCGCTTTTCTAGTCCATAGGACCCCAAAGCGCTTTACACTACATTCAGTCATTCACCCATTCACACACACATTCACACACTGGCAATGGCAAGCTACATTGTAGCCACAGCTGCCCTGGGGCGCACTGACAGAGGTTAGTGGAGCTGAGGAAGTCCTTTTGCCTCCACAGAGAGACCACAGCTCGAGTTATACACTTCACAGATATGGTTGTGTTTTAGCCATATGCTACACAGACACAACTAGAACAACTTTGTTTGGTCCTTTAGTTCTTATACAACAAGTTTTTACGTTGGGACAAAACAGGTTAAAAGATATCAAGAAATTATTTCACTTTTTATAAACAACAAAATTCCAGAATTCCAAACGCTTCCATTTTCCTCCAAACCTTCATTTATGTTGTTACGTTTGTTGACTTCCTGCTCCTGGATTTACAGCCGGGTCGTGAGATATATTGTTTATTTGTTCATGCTCATGGACATGAATTATGACATTTTTTTGAGATGGCACAAATTTGTAAGTAACGTTTACAAGAGGGAAGTATATTTCATGTCTGCAGCACATGTTTTGTCCAGTCAAAGGAAACTAAGGACGTGGTGAGATGACCAAAAATCTTCTTTCAGTCAGGGAGAAAAGGCTTAAGACTGAAAATGGTGAAGGACCGTCGTTGACGGTTTAGATCACAGGAGGGTTTTAGGCATGAGAAAAGTAGGTAAATTACACAAACAGGTGTTATCAGGTTAATGTGCACTGGATACAAGGGTAACAAGTAAACGGCCATTTCTATGTGTGGTTGTTAATAATTAATAAAACACTTATTTACCATCATAATCCTCTTACCTCATCTGTGACCTGATTGGCTCTTCTCTGTAACTCCTCCTGCTCTGTGAGGATGGGTGGGTCTGAACGTGCGTTAGCAGCCATGTTTGTTTGTGTGTGTGTGTGTGTTCAGTCCCAGGTGAGCGGATCAGACTGCAGCATCAGGTGTCTTTAACAGCTGGAGAGGGTGAGAGTGAGGCCATGATTATTTTTCATGACTGACAATAGATGCCAGGCAGGCAGACACGCAGCACAGGCTCTTACACAAACACGCTTCAGGATAACCACATTTATTTTTTAAGAAGCAGTTACTTTTATTTCCAACAGACTGTTTCGCTTTAATGGCAGTTACTGTAACTGTCAACGGTCAGCCAGTTAGCACTCAAAACATCAGCTGCAGCAGCCTTTTGCACACATGAATGTGATACTTCAAGGTCAAGGGGACCCATAATACTCATTTCCTATCAAAAGAATAGTTCTGAAACAGCCACAGTTCAGAATAATCCTTCTTTGTCTAACACGGGCTTCTCTTGGCTAAAACAAGCTCTCTTAACTCCTTCCTCCAGCCTTAAAGGCTAGCTTATTTGTGATTCACTGCTCTTCATAAACACCTAACACACTAAATTACACTAAAATCATCTTCAGCTAAAACCACAAGCAATTCAAATGGCCAAACAGGAAGAAGGATGAACTCTCAGGTTAGCTTAGTCTGAATAAGTCATATAATGCCCTTATAGGGCACAGGGGTGGGTGTGAAACTGGCTGCTTTTTAGTTATATTTTCAGCCTTTGGAGCTCTTCTAACTTTTGAAGAAGAGGAGATATATTCACACAACATTTTCAGGTTTAAGTGCTCAGTTTTACACCCACTCTGAATCTGCTTTTCTTAAGCACGACTTAGTTTGAGCATTAATATCAAGTCAAAATTATTTTCATCTAAAACAAAGCTCATATCAGTGAATCTCTGTTTTTTACCTCCAGTTTCAGTTTGCCCTGCAGAGTGATGACATCACACACCTATTCTTTTTAACCTGCTTTCCCGTTGTTTCCTGCTCAGATCGTTCTCTCTGCATATATCATTCAAATATGAAATGGTAGGAATTTTCGTCCTCTTTCACTGGATGTTATTCTTGTGATGGCAAGACACACGGTCTTCGCACAACTCCCACAAAGGCTCTTTAGAAAAGACCACAATTCAGTTAAAAAGTGTTACAGTATCTGCATGAATGCAGTGCGGCCGTCGGCTCTCACAAGCGCCTAAAACGAATCCCTCCTCACTCTTACAACAACTGCCTCCTCTGTAATTAGGAGTCCACACAATGTCAGCTTCTAACCAGGTGTTGAGTCCACACACACACACACACACACACACACACACACACACACACACACACACACACACACACACACACTTCTCTTTGTGTGATCAGGCTGCAGCATCATAATTAGCCCCAACCACTAATCACCACCTGCTGGAATAAAGAAGAGGAACAACAAGAAAGAAGAAAAGAACAAATGAGCCACGATGTTCTTGATATTAAAAAAATCAGTTTTAAATATTATGCACCATAAAATGATAAATCTTTTAGTCTACAAAATGAAACTGCTAAAATAGACAGAGGTATTCAGTCTGGGACACAACACAGAGAAGAAAACGACTGTGTTCGGCTTTTAAAGGCCGATGTTCATCAGGTTGACTGTAAACTAGATTTTCTGTAACACTTGACAGAGTCACCTCCTTGAGCTTGACATCATCACCAGTATCTCCTCCAGCTGTCACGTTAAAGTGATGCACGCTTAGCTAAGAGTGACCAGAGACAAATAACCAACACACACAAACATGCAGGCTTTGGCACTGCTTCCTAATCACAGGCATAATAATGAGCATTCATGTTCAGGAGTGCCCAAAAGTGGGCGGGGCATCACATGGCACATCCCCCAAAATATGATGTATTAATGTACTACACAGTACTACTATAGATAAAGATACCTGCACTATACAAGTCATTAAAATCTTCTCCAGCTCAAATCCACAACTATGATCCATATTTTCATATTACAACTTTTTACTATTATTTAAAGGGGATTGTGAATTTTACTAAAGAGTCTAAATATTTGTTTCACCACTTTGGAAAACTGAAATTTAGCACAAATCTTTTTTCATGTGGTAAATCTGTTTTTGTCCTGGGCTCCAGATGAGTCTGAAAATCTGTTTTCGACACTAAACTAATTATTCCTCCTTAAATATTGGCTCTTCAGTGCTGCCCACCTCACCCCGTCACAATCAGCTTTAACATGTTTAATGAAGCCATGAAAGACTTTACCTTCATAATTTCTGCATTAACAGCCCTCAGAGGACAGAGGCGGGCTGAAATTGAATGTTTTTTAATTATTATTCCCAACATTTTTGACCATTTACAACTTTTTAAGTAGATGAGATAGTCGTGTGACAGTTTCAGGATCTGTAGAAAACTTGAAATCTGTTTTACACCCACTCCAAGTGTCACAATTTAAAGCTTCTTTTCTTCAGTACGACTGTTTGTTCTGGTCAGTTTAGAGCATTAATATCAATTCAAAATCTTTTTCACAACTATGTTAGAAAATTAACATCACTCTTGTAAGTTTACCACAAAAATGCTCTTTGGATATATATTTTTTTAAATCAAACATCCGGGTACCATGCTGTCTTTTGTTCCTCTACCGTTTTTTGACCGCATTGTGACTTCTTGGCTACCTCTGGTTCTGTGGTGACAGCAGGTGCAGGTGTGCGTCACAGGCTCACCTGGTCACAGGCAGTTCATTTACGTGTACACGAGTGAAACTGCAGCCTCAGCTGTGAGGCTGACACGGAGTGATGGGGATGATAACGAAGACAGGATTCTCCTCATCGTGCTGCCCTGTGAATCGGCGTGGTGACGTATGTTTGTTTGCCGTTTTCGCGGTCAACTCGTGCGTGAGAATATCACCAGGCACACGCGAGACAGTTTTTAGTATTTGATTGTTCAAGAGCAAAAAGACGGAGTCTGTTTGAATTAATCTCACAGATGAAATATTTATTTTTTTATTGCCTGTTTGACCGTCACCAGTTAACCTGTGACACCAGTTAATCTGGAACACCGGCCCTACCGAGCACACACAATATGAATGAACTTAAAGTAACGGGTCTGTTTTAAAACGTAAAGACTAAAAGTAGAGATATTTGTTTAAAAACGTGGGGAGTAAAAGTAAAAAGTAACAAGAAAAATAAACGCTAGTAGAGATACCTGGAACTTCTACTTCGTTACTTCCCACCTCTGGGTCACTCTGATGACCAACTTTTACATTTGAAATAAAAACAGTTTTTTTTGAAGCTGCCTCTTTTCAGAGATATGATCCATACGAACCTGTGTTCCGTACCTTTCATCCGGTCCTCTTCATACGCTCGTGCTCTGTCCTCGTGAACCCATCAGCACACTGAAACCTGTTGCTCTTCCTCGGTTACTCCTCCTCAGCATCACCGCTCCCCTCCTCCGCACAGGCCCCGCCCCCCAACAAACAGCAACCCAAACTTTCTTCCTGAGCGTGACGTCAGAGAGCAGCGGCTTTGAACGCCTCTCTCCACCCAAGGACGCAGCTGAAGGTGGAGGAACCAGCGACATGTTTAAGGGTAAACGATGGGTGTGTTTTCAGCGCTGGTCAGCAGGAAGCTCTGCTCGCATCCTGACAGTTTAGCAAATATTTTTAGAATTAACAAATCCTGCTTTGATTGTTTTGAAGCTGCCGCCATGAAATCTGCATCTTTCCTGCGTTTGTCAAACACATTACCCCCCATGTGTTAATGCTCTCTTAATGACGTCATAGTGATGGTGTTTTTCTCATTTGATTTCACTTTATCCGTTTATCCGCTGAACAAAGCATTAGAAACCCTGTCCAAAGGTGTCTAAATGGCACACTGGACATGACTGAAGCCTAAAACTGGGATGAAGTTGGTTTAAAAGGTGAAAGTTTAGCAGACACGTATATCACGTTCAGTGGTTTGAGCGGTGTTTCAAACATTTGACTTTTTTTAAATGACATGTTTGTAAAATAGTTGTGATCAAACAGCCACACAGGCGCTCATCATTTTTTAAACATGACCGGAAAAGTCTTTATACTTGTCTAAATGTCAATCACGTGGTGTTTGTCACATGGTGTTTCTCTGAACATCAAATTCATCGTTTCCTAACGAGGTGCGGACCTCAGGTGTCGAGGACAGAGACGACCCTCCACTTTTAACCAAATTCAAACTGAAGTTGAAGACTGTGTAAAAACAGTTTTCATTAAGCTTTTGTTTTTCAGACATCTGCCAGAGGCGCTCTCAGCCTCTCTTTAACAACCTTTCATGCCTGGTGTGACGAGTATGCACTGAATATCCTAAGTGTGCGGCTGAAGCCCCCTGGTGGGCTCTGACGGTACTGCACTGGGTAACAAATAAGCTGAAGAGAAACTGTCAAACCTTTTGAATGTTTTGCATCTCACAGGTTAAACTTGCAGGATAAGTTACACCATTAGGCTCCATAAGCCGAGCATCCTTTTGGTTTCTGTACAATAAAATCTTTTAGGATTCGTCAACACATTTTCTGAAGGACATTTCAACTCAGGTTTTGTAACTTCGCTTAAAATTTCCAAAAAATGTTCACAGTTTAAGTGAAAGAATAAAACAGTCATGGTTTTAAGCCTGTCTCATGTCTCACATTCAGATGAAAGAAGCAAGCTCAACAAGTAAGGTGTTGTAAAGTGTTTTTAAAAGTCAAAATGAATGAATGAAAACGTAAAAGCAATATTTCATCTTTCACTTGCGAGACGAGCAGAGCTGCCACTAAAGGTTCGGGGCTGCAGAAGAACCTCTGCAGGCTGAAGTTGAGCTTTGAAATTTGATGCAGTAAAAAATATTCCCGATCAGAAGAATGAGTGTAACATCACATGTGGTCACGTGCATGAAGAAGGACAAAGCGTGCATGAAAACTCAGAGAAAAGGACAACTGTAGCATCAGCTGTGTCAGTTTATTCTTTCAAACATTCAGAGTCATCAAACTTTCAGCCTAATAAAATTCATTTAGAGACAAAAGAACAGAAATCTTTAACACAGAGATGCCGCGGTGCCGGAGAGTGCAACGGCAGCACGAGCTTTCTCTTCGTGTCTGCTCAGTGCCGGCGTTTTGGTCCCGTTACAGAGATGAAGACGATAACTGCGCATCGCGGGTTGAGTGAGAGGAAGGAGAAGGTGTGAGAAGTGAGAAGCTGTGGAGAGGCTTCCCTCCGTCGCCTCACGAATACATCGTGAGCTGAAGCCACTGTGAGGAAGAAAGAGACCGTCAGTGTTTACATGTGACCACAAGCCGTCCTCTGTCCTCCTCGGTTTTATAGTTTCAGTTTGATTGTCACCCCAGGAGCTGACCGATGTTTTCCTACAGACTTCTGTGCCATTCAAGTTCATTTCCAACCAGACCAGACTGTATAGAAAAGAACGATGTGGCCATTACTGCTCGCTGAGCCTCGAGCTGAGCATTTCTGACTGAGGGAGACTGTGCACTCATCATCAGGCCAGAATTACGAAATCAAAGGATGCTTTGCTCAAAAAGACTTGAAACTAGGGACTGAGACCATAACCCAATCAATGAAGAAGAAGAAATGTTGCCCCCTAGTGGATATTAGAAAAAATACAGATTTAAGGCACTAGTTGTTTTTTCCTGTGGTTCACAGTCAGTAAATCCGTCTCCACCTCATGTTTTTTCTGCTCCATATCATTTCAAAATATTAATCATGTTTTCTTTTCCTACTTCAGACTGTTTCCGTGCATTTCTAATCTCGTTCTCGTCTTTGGCCTTTGACCTGACCCCCACCCATTTTGCTTGCCTGCCCCTTGATGAATTTGATGCACCCTCGTCTCCTGTGTTTGGATCTTTTCCCCTGTGAGCTGACACACACGTTCCTACTTTTACTCGTCCATTCAGTGTCTAAACTTCAGAATCGAGAGAATTAGAAAACATTCTGAAGCGGACCAGTCTGGGTTTTACCTCCTTGACGTCCAGATCGATGGTGCCGCTGTTGTCCTTATCCAGCGTCTTGAACGCTCCTGCAACACACACACACACACACACACACACACACACACACACACACACACACACACACACACACACACAGGTTGTGCATTTTAAATTGATATAAAAAAAATTTCTTCTGTGCTTTTTGTTTCTTGGGTGGATGAGGAGGGAGGAGGAGTTTGGTGTAGGTTAGAGATGAACTAGGTGCTTCAGGCTGGTCCCTTGTTCCCCAGGGGATTGCCACAGTGGACGGATCCACATGTTTTGGTGTAGCACAGATTTGAACTTGAACACAGCCCTCCTGTTTATCTGGGCTTGGGATTGGTCCACTAGCTACAATAGCTTTGACCCCCTGAGGCTGGGTTTGTCTCTCCTCTGAGAATAGACTCGTGCAAATGGGTTCACCACACCCCATGCGGCAACACACTGGAGATACACTAACTACTTCTATTATGCATAAGAGAGACAAAGAAGTAGGGACAACACGTCATGTACAGCATGTACAGCTGTTCACAGGTGAGGAAAGTTAAACACATCATTATACAAACTTTACGTGTTCAGAAACGCAAAGCTGAAAATAAGACGGTCGGACAGCCGAGTGCACGCATATCTGAAATCACAGGGTGAAGAGAGACTCACTGCACATGGCGTCCAGTCGCACCAGGCAGCCAATGAAATTGTCAAAGTCCATATCGCCGTTCTCATCACTATAGCGACGGATAATCATCTTGTAGAGCTGGTCATTCAGCGGGAAGCCTGCAAAACACACACACACACACTTAGTATGAAACTACACACACTCAAACATCTTTGGTTCCCACAAGTACAGTGAACGTCCAGGTTTTGGTCCCAACAAATGTATGAACACACACACACACACACACACACACACACACACACACACACACACACACACACACACACACACACACACACACACACACACACAGCAGCATTTCTTACCTGCAGCCTTGAAGGCACCAGGCACCTCACTAGCGCTGATCACACCTGAGTTATCGGTGTCATAGTTAATGTAGATGCCCTGAAAACAAGACAACAAATAATAAACAACACAAACATAAAACCAGCGTGGAAACCGTCACAGTGCGTCTGCACGGCTGCTCCCGACCGACCTGCCATCTCTTGATGTTATTCCAGAGGTACTTGAACTCGTGGAAGCCCAGTTTTCCTGTGCTGTCACTCTGATGGGAGCCAGGTCAAAGGTCAAACTCAGCAACACAAGCAGAACTCACTGAGAACCGTGACGGTTGATTTTCTGATCTGCTGCTACTAATTCTGCAACCACTGAGATTACTGTGTGTTCAGTCTGCACTATGTTTTGTGGAAGGATACGTCCATCACAGCAACCATACTCCTGCAGGACTCACTGCTGAAGCCGTCGGTCTTCAGCTTCCCATCTGAACGACAGATCCACAACTTCAGTTCAGCTTAGTTAAAATACAAATTTACTGCAAACACACAAAACACTGAAACTAGAAAATAACAATAAGAACGATTTAATGAGCTGCAGAAGGAAACCGGACTCACGTTTGCAGACCACTTTATTCAAGATGTTCATCAGTTCATTGGGACTCACCTCCATGTCCTGGACACACACACACACACACACACACACACACACACACACACACACACACACACACAGGAAGTCCCCTGAGTTAGTCACAGCCTCACAGAATGACTCAAACCAAAGCCTTCGATCGAGCGTCTGACTCACTGCAGTCACTGTTGCCAACAACACACAACCAAAACACAGAAGCAGCGCTAAAAGTTCCGGACGCGGCTTCCTCAAAAACTTCTTTTTCTTCACACGATGAAAGCCTGTAGCTGTGAGCTGGGCTCCAAGGCCACGGGGTGAGCGGGAAAGATTTATTTTCACATGCTGGCCGATCGGCTCACAAACCTCGACTTCGAATCAAATGTTCATCCGGCAGTGAGCTGGGATGTTTCCCGAGCTTTCTCTGAAGCTCTAAACTCTTAGTCACGGCCACTTGAGTCACTTCAATCTCTTTTCCTTCTTCTTTTTACTTCATTTTTCCACTATTTACATCTAACTGTAAAAAAGTACGAACAAGCCACACGTGATAAACACTGTACTGAATAAGGAGCATTTATGGCACTAAAAACTGTTCTGTGAGCCAAAGATAACGAGGTGGGCCCAGTATGTGTTACAGCAAGTATACTGGGCCTTATAAGGTGGCCCTGCAGACCTAACAAAGCTGCAGGTGTTCATCACATCTGGGCCCAACATTAAGCTTCAGAAGAGAAATCCTTTCTTCCGTTTCCTTTCTGAGTCTGAGGTCTTCCTTCTCTTCAGATACAACCAGGCCTGTTCTCAAAGTTTTCATGCTTTGCAAACTCATCGACAGCATCAGCCCCGGTCACCTGACGGGCTCCCCTTAGTGATGTTAAGGGTAAACTAAACTGCTGGAAATTTCCACAAAGTACTCACCTTTCACAGCCTCCTGACTCCACCCGCCTGAAGCAAATGGGAGGAGCATACTTTACTACCAGCCTCTGTCACAGCAGTTATCACTGCTGTTGGTTTAGCCGAGAACCGGCTGTGTTCTGGTCTAACTGGTGCGCACGCCCATCAGATGAGTAGAAGAAACACACACACAGCATGACTGCGGCTGTGCCAGACAATGGCAGGAATGCAGAGAGGGAGTTCTCTGTGTAACACGCCCTGCAGCGAACTGCAGTTTCCACATGTTTGTCAGAGGATTCACCGAACGAGTTCACCGTTTATGTCTGCGACAGAACCGCACGCTGTAATTAAAAAGCAGGAAAAAGCTGCTCCTTTATTCAGCAGGCCTTCCACAGAGTGCGGCTCCGTGTTTGATTTGGCTGAATTTTACACCGGTGGCATTTCCTGATCCAGTCCCAGAGGGAGCTTTCACTCCACTGTGATTAAAATATAATACAGCAAAATTATGATAACCAAAGAAAGCACATCTCAGAGTGGAAGTGTAGACTGTACAGCAGGGCCAGGAAGAAGCACATTAAAGACAATCACTAGTGCACAATAAGAACAGCTCTGGAGCTTTCTCTGCTCTCACTAACTTCATTTACAAACCTGTAAATCATATTTAAGGCTCTCTGACATGGATACGGTGAGGTCAGTGGCTGGAAACACACCAACACACACATTCGCTTCGATAAAAAAGTAGGAAACACTCTTCACCTCATCACGTTGAAGTCAATGATGTTAAGGGTAATTCAGCTTCCTCCAGCTCTCTTTATTTTTTCAGTCATCTTTGATTCTTTGGTTTGGAAGTTTTGGTCTCCACAGATAATTCCCCTTCAGGTACAGGGGCTGAATGTATTTAGAGTTCACCCATTTAAACTGTATTAAGGCTTAAAGTGTGCATTATTGGGGCGTGGCCTCTGACAGGTGGATGGCGGCACAGGTAGCTGCTGTCTGTCTGCTAGTTGGAGTCCCTGAGCTGCACTGTGTTTGTGCTGTTGGAGCATTTTTAATGACATTATCTGACCAATGACGATCTTTCCCGGTTGGCTGTAATGGTGCGAGGACGTCTCAGCGCTGCACTCTGTGGCTCAGGGCTTCAACCTGCAGCTGTAACATCCAAGCACATCTGCGCCTGGTTTACAGTCAGGGGCCCACATGACTCGGGGACTCACACACAACCAACCGCACAGAGTCGGCTTCCCCTTGTGCTCCTGAGACGACCAAATTGCGACTCTTTAAAGCTCCTCATTTCCAGCTCTGTGTTTTTATCTTTGGACTCTGTGACTGCAGATTTACACGACACACAATTGATTCCTGATCTTGTAGTTTTCC